CCCATTATGCTCCAACGAGCGATTCCATCCCGGTAAGACTCCAAAAAGTGAGTGCGTGGATTTCAAGATTGGTCTGCTCAAACGAGTCACCATCTTGCGGGGGCGTGTTAAGGGATATAAATCCCACATCGAATAATGATGTAAACACAGACTAATTAATAAAGATCCTGGGCTACTCCTCTTAACAAGGTTGACCTTTTAAGATCCTTAACAGCTATATCTATTGTAACGTCCTACAGAGTAAAATCTTGGGTAACCGCATTGTGCCATGTTACCGCTTTATTCTATCATGATTATTGGATCTTGGGGTTAACTACATAGATTCTTTTCCACTACTCTTTTCAATCTAGCGCTACATCTATTGCAACATTACAAAATCAAATCTTGGGCAACCACATTGTGCCATGTTACCATTCTATTCCATCGTGATCATTGGAATCTTGAGGCCAACCACAATTATTCTTTTCCGCTATTCTTTTCAATCTAGCGCTACCTCTATAGACAGGTGCAACACAATAAAATGTTTGCAACCACATCATGCCATTTTATGTCTCTATTAATGTGTCATTGGGATTGCATCGATCGTTTGAGCGGGAGCTTCTTTAAGTTTACACAAGACATATCTTAACCGTCTAATTCATTATTCTTTCAATTGATCCTCAATTGATTCCATCTTTACTTGTTGTGTATCCTCATAGCTTATGTTATCCATTCTGGTATGGGTCACATTTGTGTTAACATCCCCATTTTTGTTACGTCAAGCCTTGAACTCTTTGTGCTCTAACGAACATATAGGATGTCTAATAACGGTTCTTTAGAACTTTCCTTTTAGTTTGATAGGTATTTCAAACTCACATAACATATTTGTGCGCTTTATTCATTTTTCCCAACCCATTCTAATGCGTTACTTCCTCTTTGAGCCCTCCAATGATAACTATAATAATTGATCCTCTACACCTGAAGTAATCTCTCTTTGCGACATGGTACTCTATTTTGGCTCTACCATCTTCTTTGTTCCCACTATGTCTAGGAGATTCTATGTATTTTGTCCATGATAAAAGGACATTCTATGTATTCCATTTTACTTCCACTTAACTAAAATCTTTATATTCCAAAATGTATCTCCTATTATCTAAAAGTTATTCTTCTCCTAGTTTCATCAACTAAAGCTAGATTAGCAACAAATAACGTACACTAATGGACATTATTATGATTTCACCTGTAACTCGTCCATTTCTAAAGCAAGAAGAACATTATTCTATGTTTGGTAGTCTATATTCTTTAGTCTCGTCGTTTTCTCTGTTATGATAGTTTAGTGTCTCTAAAACGGCTCTGATTTTGGTTTAGTTATATTACTTTGCTATCTCTATTATCCATATTATCGTATGATTGACTCGTCTATTGTTTGAGCAGAATGAATTTGGCGTCTGGGAGATTTTTTTGCCAAACAATGCAGATGGTTCTCCTCCTATCCCCCATGGTTCCAGTGTGAAGGTAATACTTGTAGATGGTATTGAGTAGTGCATCGTGAATTTGAGCTATTTCACAGTCCTATCGAAATGGTGGTTTACTTATTTTTTCTTATCAATTTAATTGAACTAATAATATTTTTTGCTGTAGAAACTTCAGCTAATGGAGAATCCCAATCTTACCATAGCACAGTTTTCTGAACTCTTCCCCTCGGTCAAAATTTACTAGTGTGCAAACACTATTCACTTTTGTATCCGTTTATCTATAAAAATGTAATGAAGATTAATTCACTGATAAGGCAGGCTGTATTGGTTTGCTACAGCCCCTGAAATGCATCAGTGCAAGTTGCTTTGGCTTGATATGATCTTCCATGATAAAGCTTCCATGACGGGGTGGACTGGTGGAGCAATTCTTGTACCTCTACTCATGCGCTTCTTTACAAAATTTCTCACCTTGTCCAGAACCTTCAACAAATTTAACATTTTGCTAGCCTAGTTCTTATCCTCTAGTTTCAGGGTGTAGATCAGTTGCAAATAACTTCTGCCATTTGGTTCTACTGGATACGTCTCAAAATAGTGCTATATTTCTAGTAAATTTATTCTCTTCAACTCCTCTTAAAATAATAATGACCCAACACATGCTTATGTGTAAAAGGGCAAAGGCAAGGAATATACACATTTTCTACTCTTTATCTGCAGAATTATTTGTACCAAGTTATAATGGAGCATACTTGAGAATGAAGAACTATTTTATACTGCATCTTGTGAAGAGTTTTTATGATTTGTACCCCTCTCTGGCTGTCTACATATGTTCAGATTCATGAGATCAAAGATCTTCACTTGGATACTTATCCAAGTTTGCTGCAAGGCTATTGGTGTTTATACAAAGTCCTTGAAGCTTTTGTTTTTATGAATCTGTGTATATTTAAATGCAGATTCGCATGGATACCCCATCTGGCATTAAAGATTCTATTCCAGCTTGGATCAAGTTCTCCGTACAGGCTCCTGGAGAAATTCCATACAATGGAATATATTATGATCCTCCAGAAGAGGTATTACGATTTACTGTGCCTTTCATTTTTGTGACTACACAGCGAGATTTAGAATGGAAAATGGTGAACAGTAGATGATCTGGGACAGGGTGACTTCCCTGTGTCAAAAAAATTTAAGCAATTTCAAACAGAATTTATTTACCTCTTGGCAGCTTTATCAGATTTTTGCCTTTATTCACTGGACTTTGATTCATGTAATAATTCTGGAGGTTCATTACACGTGAATTTGCAATTTTAGAGCATAAATCGAAAGAAAGTTCCCTTTCTTGAAAGGATATATGCTGCTTTTTTTTTTTTTTTTTTCTATCAGCCTCTGGTGTTGGTATAATATTATGTTATTATCCTCCTCAATTCCTTTAGCTTAATGATGTTTTTCTTAATATTTTTTCAGCATAAGTATGTTTTCAAACATCCTCAGCCAGAGAAACCAAAATCACTCAGGATATACGAGTCTCACATAGGAATGAGTAGCACGGTGTGCATCTCTTCTCTCTCCTGTAATGAATAAACTTCTGTGCTTTTACTTATTTGCAAATTTCCTTAACTCAGCATATTTTTTATTGATCCATTATAACTGAAATTTATTAGTAGCTTTTAACTTAAGAAGAATGTTTGATTTTCAACTTTGATAGCCTTTTACCATTTTGAAAAAACTTTTGAACTCGAAGTCATTTGAGTACATATTTTTACGTCATGGAGCGATATTTGGAGTACTTGAGAACTCAAAGCAAAAACTTGAAGGTTATAAAAGAACTGAGAAGCCAGAAACCAGAAGCAACTACTGTAGCTTCTCTGTGTATTTTCTCAGCAGACAATACAATACGAATGCAACATAAAAATATGTGGGGTGAAACCATATTAAGAATGTGATCCTTACAGCTGCAACTAACTGCTTGTCAACCGCACAATGTCAAGGTGACGCCCTACACAAACTAGTATGCTACATGTCACGGACCGCATGGTAGTGACATAAGATTGGGCATGACACGGGAATGTCATGTCACCAAATGGGAAAATGAGTTAGACCTATGGTTGATTAGGTCTAGACTTCAAAGGTACATGGCGATGCCGATGTCACCTAATTTTGTGGAGAGATGACCGGTGTCCAT